TTGACCCCGCGCACGCGGAGGACGGCGGCGGCGGCGGCGGCAGCGGCGCACGCGGGACGCGGCCGTGGAGACCATGGAGCAGGTCGGGGCGGGTTGCCATGGTTACGGGGGTGGTGGGCTCGGGTCTTAGGCCTGGTTCGTTCGGGTCTTGGGCCTGGTTCCGGTTCTCGGCCTGGTTTCGGGTGCGGGCACGGGTCCTGGGTTTGGGGTCCCGGGTTGTGCGCCTCGGGCCTGGTTCTGGACCAGGGGTTCCGCGTTTTGGCTCGGCCTGTGTGTTGGGGGCCCAGGTTTTGGGTCTGGGGGCCTAAGCCCGGGTTCTGGATTTGGGCCTGGATTCTGGGCCAGAGGTTCCACGGTCTGGGCCTGGGGTCTTGGGCCCAGTTCCGGCTCCTGGTACCACCCTGACACCCCCCGGCCTCTCCTTGGGCAGCCCCTGGAGCTCGAGAGCGATGACGATCTCACAGACAGCGAGGAGAGCGTTTACTCGGGGCTGGAGGACTCTGGCAGCGACAGCACCAACAGCAGCGCCGGGGAGGAGGAGGATGAAGCCGAGCGGGAGGAGCCTGGCAGCAGGGCAGCCCCCGAGGTAAGGAGCGGGGGTGGGGGGAGGCTGCCTGGGTGGGAGGCACTGCTGCAGCGCTGCGCCCGGTGCTGGGCTCCCAGTTCAGGGCAGACTGGGAAGTGCTGGGAGAGCCCAGCGGAGGGTGTGGGGATGGGGGGCCTGGAGCCCCTCCTGGTGGGGATGGGCTGAGAGCCCCGGGGCTGTGCAGCTGGGGGAGAGAAGGCTGAGAGGGGTGTGAGCAGTGCTGGTGGGTATCTGGGGGGTGGGAGGAGGGGGCCAGGTGGGGCTGTGGGAGCTCCAGAGGTCCCTTCCAGCCCCTGTGGTTCTGGGACTTTGGGATCCTTAAGGTCCCTTCCAACCAAAGCTGTTCTGCGATCCCCTTTGGAAGCTCTGCCCTTTGAACCTGCAGCTCTGTCCCTGGTCTGCAGCCTTCCCCTGTTTGGGTCCCGGGGCCCCCAGCCCCACACCAGGGGGGCTGGCCAGGCTGGCCATCTCCTGGAGCAGCCCCCAGCCCCTCTCTGCCCCTGCAGCGCAGCGGTGCTTCCCAAGGGGCAGCTACCACCAGGAGTTGTGTCCCTGCATGGAGCTGATGGCGCAGGGTCTGGTGCAGAGATGGGAAGGGCAGCTGGTGCCTTGGAAATACCCTTGTTCCTGTCCAGGTGGAGTTAGGAGTGGGTTCCTCGAGGTTCTGGGTCCGTTTCTGCTGTTCTTCCAGTAAGGCTGACACAAAAAAGGGAGTTGCTGTAATATGGCAACATGGAATGGTTTGGATAGGAAAAGGGTCCTTAAAGATCATAGAGCAGCACTGATGGGTATCTGGAGGTTGGGGGTAGGAGGAAGGGGCTGAGCAACCGGATAAGGAGTGCTGGGCACAGACTGGAGCCCAGATCTGAACGTGAGGAAGAACTGTGCTGTGAGGATGGCCGAGCCCCTTCACAGAGCCCGGGGTGCTGGGGGAGTTGTCTTCTCCACAGAGATGTGAGCTTGTTTGGATCCTTTCTGGTACAAATGCTGGAGGGAAATGTTTCCGGGGGGGTTGACGTGGGGCAGGGCTCTGGAGGGACTCCAGTCCCTACGGTTTGGTGGCTCTGTGCACACTGATGTCAGCGTGTGCCCTCCTGCTGCACAGAGCCCTGTGTTGGAGGTTTTTTCTTGTGGGTTCAGAGCAGGGAGGTTGGGGATGGAGCAGTGCCTTACCTGGCTTTCCTCCTGTGCAGCATCCAGAAGGGTTTCCCCCAGGAGGAAATGCCTCAAACCCATCAGGCTTGGGAAGGGTTACGTCTGCCTCTCATTTCTGCATTGGAAAAAGAAACGTGGCTTTCAAGAGTCCCCTTTCCAGTGCAGATCTAAGAGAAGCTCGGTCAGCTCACATCCTTTCTTCTGCGGTCCTGCTCAGTGGGAGAGCCTCTGTCTGCACCTCTGTCCTCCCAGGCGCTGCTCCCTGATGCACTCTGACAGGCCCTGCAGTGAGCTGCATCCTGCAGCTGCTTTGCCTCCCTTTGAAGCCTTTGCATGGCTCCATAAGTAAGCGGGTTGTGGACCACTGCCTTGTCACGTTAGACACCTCTGCAGTCCAGTTTTTCACAGCAACTCGACGACTGTGGGACCGAATCCAAATTTTTCACTGCATTGGAAATGCTTGGGAGCTTCAGGAGAGCACGGGTCTCTGCTGCTCCACTGGCATGTTTGGAAAAGGTTGAGTGCCTTAGGGTGAGAGCAGGGAGAATTGGCTTCTGGTTGGAAAATGCTGTGCCTGCAGGTGCTGGAGAGCGGCTTATTTGCTTTGGCTGGATGTCTTCAGAGCTTGGATGTTTCTCTGGCTGCAGTGCCGTGGCTCAGGAAGCCGTGTGTGCAGCATAGGCTGGACACTGAGGGTGTCACTTCACGGTGCCACAGGGCTGTGGGACCTTTGGTGCTGAGCTCAGTGCCAGGCTCTGGCTGTGGCACATCAGGGTTGTGCTACTCCTCCCGTTGCTGCTGCCTGGGTCTGGTTGTGCTGCAGGAGGGACACGGGACAGCAGAGGGGTTGAGGCTGAGGCTGCCGCATTCCATCCATCCCACGGCCCCCACCTGGGGTCAGAGACCCCCAAGAGCAGCCCCCAGCCCCTACCTGCTCCCTGTACCAGCTCCAGCCCCCCCCAGCACAGCGGTGCTTCCTCAGGAGCAGCTCCTGGGCTCCGGTCTGTGCCTGTTGCCTCTCATGCTTGTCCTGGTGCTGCTGAGCACGGCCTGACTCCATCCTCCCTGTGGGACGTATCACCATGGGTAGGATCCCCCCGAGCCTCCCTGCCCCAGATCAAACAGCCCCTCAGCCTTAAAGCTGCTCCAGGCCCTTGGTCACTATGGTGGCCTTCCTTTGGGTTCTCACCATTGCGCCCAGCTCCCTCCTGCACTGATCCCAGCACTGAGCAGAGGGGCAGCATCCCCCCTCTTGTCCTGCTGGTGATGCTCTGTTGCAACCAAGACCATCATCGGCACCATTTGCCCGAGGGCCCATCTCTGCCTCGTGTCCCATTTGATGCCCACCGGGACCCCTGGGTCCCAAACTCATCACTGAGCTGCAGGCAGCAGCAGAGCTGATGAACAGTGGGGCTGAACTGGAGCTAATGAACCTTGTGTGGCAGCTGCGTCCCTGTGTGCGTTGGGATTGTGCACAGATGTAATCCGGAGCAAAGAGCAGTGGGTCTCAGCTCTGTGCTGAATACTTTCTGAGTATAATGATAAAGAAACCTTAGAAACCCCTTTAGAGGTTAGCAATAGGCAGCGACACCCCAATAATCGTGGGCTGTGTGCCCAGCAAGGTGCTGGACATGGAGCTCAGGGAGCATTCCCAGGCTGCTCCATCCGGAGGCACTGGACCACGTGCAGGAGAGCAGAACGTGTGAGCCAAGCTCTTGGGAAAGGACAGGAGGCTTTGCTACTGTGCCCGAGGAACCTGGAGAGCGTCAGGGAGCTGCGATGGGGAGAAGGGAAGCAGGCAGATGAGAGCAGACAGATCCATGGGGCTGCCAGAGCTCTGCGGTGAGTTCCTGGTGGAACTCTGGGGGCTGTGGCTGCAGCACCGCTCTGCACCAGGGCTCCAGCCCCAGCATTGCAGCTGCTGAGCTGCTGTGTGCCCTGCGTGGAAGCTGAGGTCTGGGGAGTGTCATGGGGCCGGCACTGAGCCTATCAATACCTGAAGGGAACCTACAGCCAGGAGGGGAGTCAACTTTTCCAAAGGGCTGACAACAGCAGGACTAGGGGAAATGGATCCAAGTTGAGGGAGGGAAGATTGAGGTTGGATGTTAGGGGGAAGTTGATGTCACTGGGTGCTCTATGGGGTCAGGGGGTGCTCTATGGGTGTCCTATGGAGTCCAAGTTGAGGGAGGGAAGATTGAGGTTGGATGTTAGGGGGAAGTTCTATACAAGGAGAGTGGTTGGGCCCTGGAACGGGCTGCCCAGGGAGGTTGTGGATGCCCCGTCCTTGGACGTGTTCAAGGCCAGGTTGGACGGGGTCCTGGGCAACCTGATGTGAATGTGTGTGTTTGGTGGCCCTGCTGGGCAGGGGGGTTGGAACTACATGATCCTTGAGGTCCCTTCCAACCCGGGTGATTCTGTGATTCTGTGAGCTGATGCTCTACGGGGCTCTGGCTTTTAAGGTTTTCTTGCTCCAACTGCAGCTCTGCAAAGGGAGGAATCCTTCAGCAAATGAACTCTTCAGCCTGCTTTCAGCTGCCGGGGTTCACCCCAGGGCACAGGGATTGGAGCCAGGCAGCCTCAGGGCTGCTGAAGAGGAAGGCACCGTTTGTCACAACATTGGGACTCATCAGGAGGAAATGGAATCCCACAGGGACAGCCCAATATCCATACAGTCCTGAGAGTGAGGGAGGCAGGGAACGTGGGGCTGAGTGGCACTCAATAGTGGCAAACCAATATTGGGCTGTTCCTGTGGGGTCCTGCAGGAGCTGGGGCAGCTCCGCAGCTCTCCTGATCGATGCTGGCCTCGTTACCCTCTCTGCTTTAAATCCAGGCATGGATTTCTGGCCTCCCACCTTCCTTAATGCATCCCTTTGCAGTGAGCCCCACGTCTCTGTATCTGACTGTGCCAAGCTGAGCATTTATCACCTCCCTACAGCTCACAAACCCTTTTGCTTGGGGCAGTTCCGTGCTGGGCTCTGCTCCCCATCCCTCTCACCTCCATCCTTGCTGTGGCAGCCCTGGTCTGCACATCCCCACAGTGCTGGGGACAGTGGGATCTTTCCCTTCCTACTGGGAGACCACAGGCGAGGAGCTCTGATGTGTTCTGTAGAGCTGCAAGGAGGCGGCAGGTTGTGCCTCTCACAGAGCCCTAGAATGGCCTGGGTTGCACAGGAGCTCAGTGCTCATCTGGTTCCAACCCCCTGCTGTGTGCAGGTCGCCAACCAGCAGCCCAGGCTGCCCAGAGCCACATCCAGCCTGGCCTCCATTGCCTGCAGGGATGGGGCATCCACAGCCTCCTTGGGCAACCCGTTCCAGTCCCTCACCACCCTCTGGCTGAAAAACTTCCTCCTCATATCCAACCTAAACCTCAGTTTAGGTTGTCTCAGTTTAAAACCATTCCCCTTGTCCTGTTGTGTATCGGTCTGCCTTTCAGTGACCTTTGATTTGGGGAGAACAGAGGCTCCCTGGCTGGGCCAAAAATGTGTTTTGCTGAAGTGGAAATGCAGCGTTTGGGGCGGTGCTGGAGCTGCGAAGCGCTGAGCACAGGGTTTCTCTTTGTGGACGTGTACAGGGAGGGGCGGCAGCTTTGGTGGCACCGATTTGTCTGGCTGCAGACTGGAAGAGATCTGGGACAGTGGTTCCTCAGGGTGTTTCCTTTTTCCAGTGGTGCTGAGGTATAACCATAGTACTGATTCCCCTTCCATATGTGCATTTGCCTCTGCAGCTCAGCACGTGATGCACTTACTGTAGATGCACAGCATGCTTGGGTTGGAAGAGTCCTTAGGGATCACAGAACTGTGGGTTGGGTAGGGTTGGAAGTGTCCTTAAAGATGATAGAACCATGGGTTGAGTTGGGTTGGGTAGGGTTGGAGGGGTCCTTAAAGATCATAGAGCTGTGGGATGGATTGGCTTGGGTTAG